TGCACTTGAGGACAGTGTTACCATGAGTTAAAGTTCTTGTATAAAGAGTTGATTTGAAGACCTAGTTTCTAAACAATAGCTGACAGGATCGTATTTTGGTCTCCTGAGTCAGGTAGTTTCATTCCCAGGAAACCAAAAAAATCAGATGCCCTCCTCCACAGACTGAGCTGATGAACGTCGGTGAACTGGAAAGCAGCAGTGCAGAAGGCAGTTTGTTCCTCCTGGTGCCCATAAAGTCATTTTTCTGCTCCTGAGATTGTCCAAGAGTGCACACACAGGGTATGGTGGCACTTCCCAGCCTGATCTGCCCTTGCAGAGCAGAAGGTGATGTGGGGACCAGGACACGTCTCACACCATGAGTGTGGCTGTCTCAGCAGGGACATGGGACCCAGCGGAAGGAGAAGGTTGAGCTGAAATGGCCCCTTGGTTGGGTTCTCCCGTGTTTGTGACAGGCAGGAGCCGTGCCTGTGGCAGGGCGGTCACCCAGGGTGACAGCCCGAGCAGGACAGCAGGACCCCCGAGCTGCAGGACTCTGTGGCGGGAGGTGGCTGGCGATGCACAGCCCTGCCCAACCCACCCGGACCAAGGAAGGAGAAAATGCGTTTCCCGGGTGGAGGCAGGACAAAGCGCTGATTGAGGCCCCCCACACTCACCGCTGGGAAGGCGAGGGCTAATTTTCAGCTGCGGTGTTAAACATCAGCGCTCCTAAAATCAGTGATGTGAGTGCAGGCTCTGACTCCACCAAGGCCTCTCAGCACCTGCCTGGCTGCCCTGCGTGCCCCCCTGAAACAGCCCTTCACGAGATGGTCCAGCTGCCCGTCTCCTGTGAAAAGCACACAGGGCACTCTTCCTCCTTTTCTGCTTCGCTTCTTGTGCAAGAGAGCACAGCAACACAGCCAGGGCATGCAAACACCCATGGGTGCCCTGGGTCTCCCCCACCTCCAACACCAGGGCAGAGCCACCCCAGAGATGCGCCTCAAGGGTGCTCGCACCCTCTCCTGAGGCACATCCTGACCAAAAGCAAGGGAAGAGCCTCGGCACTAAGCAATGCCAGGCTGAGCCGGGAAGGGGAAAGGCATACAAAACTCAGTGCAGGAGAAAGGTGGTGGCTCCTCCCCTTGCTCCCCCCCACTCCCACATAATGCCTAACTGTGTGTGAGAGCAGTCAGGTCCCTGCTGAGACCTCAGGCTCTGAAAAGGAGGCTTTTAGCACGAGCTCCGAGAGCCCAGCCCGTGCGGTGCTGCTAACATGACACTGAACTAACACTGCACTACAATCAAAGCATTTTAATAATTTAATATAATAAATGTCAGAAGGAGTGAATAATTCCCTGTAACCCCGAGGAGGCTGTAGGTGCCAGAAGGAGCCAAGTGGGTATATTGAGCTGCTTTAGCAATAGCCCTTTGACTCTCTGAAGGTAAATTTAAACCAGATGATGGATGCTGGGTGGTCGCCTCGGTGGGCAGAATGGCGAGCACTGTTCAGAAATGCGTCACTGAAACAATTTATCCCCAAAATTTGGAAGGCAATGGTTGCAGAGAACGGACAAAGAAAAGAAAAAATTAGTTTCTCAGGAGTCGTTCCTCCAGCTAGACATCAAATCTGAAGAACTGCGGTCTGTTTACTTGTCTTTGGCATGCACGTTCCCCCTTTAAGCAGTGAATAGCATGTGGATAATTATTCCAGAAGTCTCTTTAATCAGCTCCAGGCAGTAACCCACGTGCCTCTGGTATTACGTACGGATGGCAGGGAGCAGTGATACCGGCACAAGCCTGGCCCTGCCCCGAGCCGGTGCCACGGGAGGCTCTGCGGAGCAGGCGTTGCTGCCGGCCACGCTGTCAGCACACGTCTTAATCCACAGGTTTTGGCAATTTGCTCCTGAACACTCCCTGCCGCTGCCTGGCCTCGGTACCAGCCTGTTCCTTATGCTGCTGGTGGGTTAATGGAGAGACTCCCTGCAGCAGCCCCCAGCCCAGCAGCTTCGCAGGGATCGGTACTTCCCAGGCAGACCATGAGCTATACAGATGGGTGCTGGTGAGCACTAACAGGGTGGAGTATGTGTTCCCACAGCTGAGACATGAGCAGGGACCCAAAGCTCGATTCCTCACTTTGCACTGAATACTGGACAATGAGATTCACCAGGAAAAAATTCAAGCATCAAGCCTGGTTCTCCCCTGCTCTGGGCCCGTTGTCTCCAACAAACTGAGGGCAAAATGCTACTGAATAGAGCCATCAAGTTTTAATACTCGTTTTTCACTATGTTGTATTAATCTGGAAGAATAGCCAATGGACAGCCTTTTGCATATTTATCCTGATCACAGCCAATAGTTCTGTCTAAAAAAGAAACAAAAAAGGCTTGTAGATAGATTCCCACATGGTGCTTTTAGATGAAGGGAAAAATAGCAAAGGCAGGTCAAAGCTGAAATCGCACTATTGCTCGGCAGTGGAGGAGTGGGACAGCAGCACATCACCTACATGGAAAATGATTAAATAACTTTCTTACAGGATCTCTTTGGCTGTGCAAAGATATAAACCATTCAGTAGATAGAAAGACTGGTGTGAGGCTTTTCAGCAAGACTCAGTAACTCACCCTGCAGCGGGCACTGGTGGGATACTGGTTGATTGAGCTCGACTTCAGCGTGCTGGAACAGGACTGTTCCAGCCCCTCAGTGGAGGGTCGGAGACAGCAGATCCAACCTTGGCACAGGAGCTGTTATGGCTGATCCAAGAGTTTATCTGGCAAAGATGCTCTGGCTGGCTTGGCGTGAGTGCCCAGAGCTGGGACTGAGCCCAGGGCCATGTGCTGGCAGCAGCGCTGGGGCTGCTGCGGGGAGAGGAGCTCAGCTGCAGCGTGTGCTCCGTGAGTCCTGCTCTGCAGGCAGGGACGGGCTTGCCATGGCCGTAAAACATTCATGTCCCAGACGCAGAGTGGCAGCTAATGCTGTGGGTGACACTGGCACCAGTGGTAAATCTTGATTTTTGGCAGAGCTCTGTTGATGCGTGCTTGCTGGTGATCCGGTTAACACGTCTAGGATGAAGAATGGAGAACAAGGAGGGCAGGAGATTATGTTACCCATTTAATAACCACACAGAGCAGTGATGGGAAAATCTGCGGGCTGCAACGTGTCAGGTCCCCGTGGGACTACCCAGAGGAGACGCTGGGTAAATACTTGCTTGTATGGGAGATGTGTCTGTCTTCCACATACAACCAGGAGAGCACCAGCTCCATCCACAACATGGGAAAGCTGAAAGTGAAGGGATATACGTTTCAAGTGAATTGTAACGTGGGTCCTAGAAGCTGTAAAGGGCAAAGCCTTTTTAAAATACACACCTTGCACTGGGAAGAAAAGAATTGGCAGGTGAACTCTTTTAAAAGGCTGCTTGGGATGACTGCTTGCTGCTTCTCTCCCTGGGTGCTTGCTCTGGCCTCTGAGCCCAGCAAGAGCTCACTGTAGTGTGCCTTGGGGTGCTTGGCAGGACCAGATTTACTCTCTTCACACATCTGATTGTTTATGCCCTTGACTATTCTCCATTTCTAGCCCATTTAAGAGGAAGAGAGACTGTTTTTAATGAGGATGCTCCACTGTATACCTTTTGCAAGATTTTCTGTGGGTGGCCATGGCTGATGCCCCCCCATCCTCACCACTTTTCCTCCAAGCGATCTCTCAGCACTGCCCACAGTCCCTGGCTGCTTTCTCCCAGTGGCTCAGCAATACGTTTGCAGCTGTTTTTTTCACAGTCTTCTCTGGCCACTACTGTTTCTCTCTGTCTCTGATGCGAGGCCATCGCTGTGTGGAAAGGTCACAGGTGACCCTCAGCAGCCTTGGGAGGCTCAAGAGCCTGGAGCCAGTTTCCATACCGCTTTCTCTCTCCTGAGGATGCTGGATCTGGTTTGGGTCTTATGCTTATCCAGGTGGGTCCAAAAACATCCCCTGAGCATGCAGAGCAGAAACACAGAACTGTTGTCCAACTACCAGCAGCCACGAACACCCCTTTGCAGCAAGGCAAGGGAGCTCAGCACATGGAAGAAGTGAGCTCAGGATTAAGCCAAGACCTTTTCATAGCCAGCCAGGCTGGGTCCCCTTGGCAGAAGCAATTTCTTGAGTGTGTCCAGCTGCAAAGTGCCAAACATCAGCAGGTGTGCCAACAAGGGGCTCCTGCCCAGGTAGCACCCCTTCCCTCTCTCTGGTTTCCTCTTATCCAGCCAAAGATACTCGAGTTTTAGGGTCTTTCAGTAAAGCAGGAGCTGGTGTTCTTCAGATGGGTGATCTCACCTCCTCTGAAAGCAAGTCAGCACCACAGAAGGTCTCCCCAGTAGGCACCCCATAACCCTCCCCTCTCTTCTACCAATTCTTGCACACGTGTCCCAGGTGGCAGAGAAGGGCACCTCGGGCTTGGACCCACCTCATCTGTCTGTTGGTTAACACCCAACCTACTAAGTCGTTAAAGAGTTAAATGCCAGGTTCATGGGAGCTCCTTCTAGTTAATAGAGCAGAAAGAATCAGCAAAACCACCCATTTCTTAGAGAAAAATGCAGCTATTTTCACCCAACAGCCCTCGCAGAAGCCAACAAGCAGCTCCTCCTCGCGTGACAGCTCCCCAGCTGCACTCCTGGCTCAGCAGCATCATTTCCCAACTCACCAAAAAGCCATACAGCAACAAGCACACCAGGAAAAACAAATTAATAATTAATTAGGGCACTGCCACCATCACATGGGACTGGATGTCTTAGGAATGCGTGTTCCAGGGCTATTAACTTAGTGCCCTGTGTGCATTTGATGGAAAACTGATGAAGCAGTTATTCAGTTATCCAAACTTTATATTTTTCAATGCCAGTCCTGGTCTTAGAGCAGCTGAGCTCCAGTGCTTTCCGATGGGAAAGCCTCTCCACCTTCCCCGCCCCGGCAGGCTGGACACGGAGGGAGCTCCAGGCTCCCTGCTCGGCAGGGCGAGGAGCCCGGTTCTGGTGCTACAGTGCTGGGGGACCGCTGTCTCGTAGATCCAGCCCGTACCAAACCAACCTGCTCCGAGACGGCGTGCGGAGGTACCTGCAGCTGCCGGCAGACCAGACGGTACTGATACTGCACGCCAAAGTCGCACAGAAGTCATACGGCAATGAAAAAAGGTAGGAGATCACTCCAGCTTCTCTGATAGCCACTTCCAAACCCACCCACCTAGAGCTCAATTTCAGCCTTGCTGGATTTCTGATTTAAGCTGGTGAAGCAAATGATTCGACATATTCCCTGTCCGTCCACTCACGACCTCTTTGTATCCAAAACCTTCATTTTTAATTCACAAATTGAATAACACCAGAAAGATGTTAACCCCCGCCTGCACCCATCCCAGTTAGGCATTCCCAGCAGTTAGGTTCCTCCCGTGAAGTGCTGGAGAGCAGAAAGATGAAGTAAAAGAAGGAAAGATACTATTCAAATCTTACTCCCAAAGAATGAAATGACAAAGATGAAGAAGAGGAAAGGTTAGTGTTTTAAGTGCTCTGGAAATCTTGTCTTAAAATCTGAACAGCCACAGCAGGGACTGAGGTGTCTCCATCAATGCCCAAAAGCTGCTATTTTTGAAAATCCTTCCCGCACTGCAAAAAGACCTTGAGGTTCTGGCTTGAGTCTCCAAAATTGTCACTCCTGGGCAGTGACATCAGACTGTGGCACTGTAATATAATTAATTAATCCTTGTGATATAAATAATCCTCCGTTATTACCGAGCGTGGAGTAGGCGACAAGCTCTATTAAAAAGGCGTCACGGCACCCAGACCCCAGCCACCCCAGGAGACAGCTCTAGGCTGGGCTGGCTGTGCCTACAAAGTCCTCCTCACATCCAGCCTCCTGCCAGGGGCTGCTGGTAAAGGTTTTATTTCAGGACTGGGTCTCCCAGCCAGCAGGGAAGCCCCCATATCACTGAGCTTTCAGGACTGCCTCCTCCCCGCTGCTCCAGACCGCAGGCAAGGGATGAGCATGAAAATCAGATACCAGGTCTGGAGAGAGAGATAAAACTGGCACAGAACTCCCAGGTTAAAGTTTAAAAGTCCTGGTGCTGTTTTTCTTCATGGTGGGGGCCAGAGGCCCGTGCTGTGGATGGCTTGTTTAAATAAACCCGTACCCAGGACTTTAGGGCTCCGAAATGTTCAGCCCCCTGCACTGGTGTTTTCTCTGCTAACGCTTTACCCAGCATCAATAGAGGATGAATTTGTACCATTCACACAAGTGCAAAGACAGTGGAAACCCAAATAAAACACAGGAAAATAGGTTTCCAAAACCCTGGCTATAGATTTATTTGCGTTGGGCTCCAAATCTGGCTGTGAATGCAAACTCTGTTCCCGACCTGCTGAAGCTCCCGCATGGCAGGCAGGCAGAGGCAGGGGGCCCAAACCCCGCCCCCGGCTCAGGGCGAGGGGGGCTGAGGCACCCTGTCCTCTCCTCCTGGGGCCGTCCCATGGCCGGTGGGCGCGTGGGCAGGCGCGCGCCCCTTTGTGGCCGCCACCCTGGGCTGGGACGGGACGCTGCAGCTGGAGGCAGCCAGCGCAGGGCAGAGAGGCTGAGACAGCTGCTTCTGCGGAGCCCAATTCTTCCAGCCAGCCCTGCCCACACCCCCCAGCCTGGCAGACCCCAGCCCCTCGCTGCAGCACCCCATACCTCCCCAGGCACAAGGTTGCTCCTGGCACTGGAGAGCCCTGGGTGAAGGTCTCCACTCCCAGCACAGCCATCCCATCACCTCTGAGCATCTTTTCTGGACGCTGAAGTGCTGTAAGAACACGTTCTCTTGTCTCCACAGATTTTTCTGCCCCCCACCTTGTGTTTACCTGAGCGGGCCGGGGTGGAAGTTAAAACAGGACCAGATAAAAGGTGAGTGCTGGGTGGCAGCCCTGGACCTCTTCCCCCTGCCCTCCCATGCCACAGAGAGCTGCCCTCCACTTCTGCAAAGGGGACAGTGACCCAGTTTACTTTTGTCTGCCCCCCAAACTCCTCTTTCCCCCTCGAGCTGAGCCCTCTGTTGTCCTGACCCGGGGAGGGCTGGAGCCCGAGCCACCCCACTGTGCCCAGAGGAGCTGAGCTCACACTTGTGCCTGCGCCAGGGGCTGGAGGATGTTTCTCCCTGTCTCTTTGTCCTAAACCACAACACTCTTCCAGCCAGGGACCTGGGAGAGGCGGGTTTTCATGTGTGCGGGTACATGGGGCTGGACAGCATGGGCAGCAGCCTGATGGAGACTCAGAAGCTCAGCTTCGAGGAGCAGCCAGACGCAAAGGTAAAGCCTGATGCTCCCTGGGGCTGCGCAGCAGCACCTATAGGGACCCTGCTCCTGCAGGGGCTGGGCTTTCCCTGGCATCACCCCACGCCCTGGGATGTCACATCGTCCCCTTCCTTGGCATGTCATGGTCCTTCCTTCCTAGCCATCACTCCCTGCTCCTGCTCTGCCACCCTGCTGTGGCACATGCGGCAGCCCGAGCAGCTGGGCAGGCTCCCCTGCCTCACAAAGAGCCTCATCTTTCTTTGGCACCATCTTTTCAGGTCCGTAGCCCTGTGGTGGGCGAGCTGCCAAAATCTGCGCAGCTCCCTCAGCCCTGGTGTGTTCTCCCGATGAGCATCGCTGCCGCTTATCGCAAAATGAAAGTCTGGTCTTTCATTTGCAGATAAACAGCTAAAGAAGATGCTGATCAATCCCAAAGTCCAAGAGTTTCAGCAGAGATCTGGCATCTTTTGATAGGGGAAAAACAGAAATGGGGGGAAAAAGAAAAGCATTATCTGGGATCCTCAAAGAGCACGGGGTCCGAGTCGGGCCAGAAACCTTACAAAAAGGGCCTTTGTCTGCAGCGCTTGAGTTGCTGCTAAGGCACGGCGTATCGGCCAGGACGACGGGGAAACCATAAACCCAGAGTGATTTCTCATGTTATGTGGGATAAATCACACGTGAACAGTCATTTCCATGAGGAATTCTCTGCCCCCAGTGTAAATAAAGACTCTGCTGATCCCCAGCTCTTCATCCCACCTGTAATAACATCTCTGGTCGTTTCCCCCTTTAAATGAACCCGGAGCTCTTTGAAAGGGTGTCATTATGTCCTCGCAGGGTGGTGAGGAGGATGAGGAGGGTTAGGAAGGCTGGCGGGGCTGGGCTGGAGCTGCCCACAGCCCGTCTCTGCCCTTGGCAGGGCTTTGGCTGTGCCAAGGCATTGTACATCTCAGATGCAGACAAGCGCAAGCATTTCCGCCTGGTCCTGAAGCTCTTCTTCAGCAACGGGCAGGAGATTGGCACCTTCCACAGCAAGCTGATCAAGGTCATCTCCAAGCCCTCACAGAAGAAGCAGTCACTGAAGAACACGGACCGTGCGTACAGGGATGGTTCTGCGGGGAGGAAAGCAGGCACGAGCCCAGGGCGGGATGCTCTCGGAGTGCTCACAGCTTGGCTCTGGAGTGGTCCAGGCTGGACCCAAAGCTCATGGGCATCCCCAAAAAAGGGGGAATGTATCTGGGCATATCGATGTCTCTCTTCTGAAGGATTCGCCCTCCACCATGTGTAATGCCCTGATGCCAACATGCTGCCTGCTCCATGGACTTCAACTTTGACAAGCCCAGCTGGGCTGGCACTCACACGCAGAGAAAGGCAGCCGGGGCGGGGGGGGTTGGTTCCTGCTGGGCCAGTTACACCAGTAACCACGTCTTGTCCTCCTGTGGCTTGACAAAAGCCGCACGTGGACCGGGCAAGCGCTAACACAACCACCTCTCCCAACAGTCTGCATCTCCTCAGGCTCCAAAGTCTCCCTTTTCAACCGTCTGCGCTCCCAGACCGTCAGCACCCGCTACCTCTCTGTCGAGGGGGGAGCCTTCATCGCCAGTGCCAGGCAGTGGGCAGCCTTCACCCTCCACCTGGGTAAGGATCCCCGTGGGGCCACTGGCGCCGGCCGTGCCCAGGGCTGGCTGTCTCCATCCCTGGCTCTCCCCTCCTGCAAAGCTAGTTCTTGGGGGCAAAAGGGGTGGGAATTCACCTGGGATGTGGGAACCTGGCTCAGATCTCACCTCTGCCCAGTGTTGCTGGAAGATCTCTGAGCCAATGGCTGTTTCCCACTGGCTTTGAGGGTTGGCATCATGCCCTGAGAGCACACAGGCTGTGAACAGGGCAGCAAGAGTTGTACCAGTCTGGAGGCTCATGAATCCAAGCAAGTAACTTGCCTGGAAGAGGCCAGAGCATCCGTGCCCGTGCTACCTCCTGAGGCACTGCATCCCAGCCCCACTCTCCTGTGCTGGGCTCCCAGGCAGCAGTGGTCTGTCCAAACAGTGAGCCTCTGCAGAGCAGAGAAAGTGAGAAAGCACTGAGAGCACAGCCAGACCTGCGTGTAGCAAGATGGCACAGGCTGTCCTACTCTGCGGCTGCTCAGGACGATGACTCTGCCCCTCTCCTTCCCAACAAGCTGACGAGCGCTGCGCCCGGAGCGAGTTCCCCC